TGATTTTGAAAAGCTTGAAGGAACGATGAATTCATTGAAGAATTTCAGAGATATAATTTTACCAATGGTAGTTGAAAAATCGGATCGTATCAGAGATCTAATACTACCGGTAAAAACTGAAAATATTAAAGAGCTTTATCATGATGTCGATAAACTAACAGATCGATATAATGATTTATCAACACGTGTGAATGATAAATTGAATCATGCAAAGGAGCAGGAGAATCTATTTGATGATATCCAACGACAGCTTGATGATATGGAACAAAAAGCTGATGATTTTCTCAACAAATATATCACTTCACAAGATTTATCAATTGCTATGGAAGATATCGATCAATTGCATTCACTTCTGAATCAGATTCCAACATCAGCAATGGAAAATATCATTGAACGTGGGCTCAGAGAGAATTTATTAAAGAAAGCAGATATTATAAAGAATAAGATTAAAAATTTACTTCTTCCACTGGAAAAAGATATGAAAAAGGAGCAAGAATTGATGCAAAATGTTCATGAAATACTATCGACAATAACTTCAATTGGTGATGATGTTATTGGAGTTGATAGCATAAATGAGCCATCACAACAATTGATGAGCATTGGTGAATTAACTGAAAATTTGCGAAAATTGAAAGGAAAAGTTGAAAAACTAGAAGGAAAATTACATAATTCGGAAGGTATGGTAAAACGTGCATTAATAAGTGATGATCTTTATGATCGTGTTGTACAATTACAAAATGCACTTGATGATAAGAAAGAGAAATTAACCGATCGTGCCAAATTATATTCCACAACTGCGGAGATAAATTTGATCAACGAAAATGTGCAACATTATATAAATGAAATGGAACAAATACCATTGCAAACAGTTGAAGAACAAAATAATGCATTAAGTGAGCTTGAAGGAAAGAAACATCAACTTGAAATTTTGCTAGAAAATATTCCGATGAATGATGAAGGTAATAAGTTACGTGAGGATGGTAATAGATTACTGGCACAACTGAATGATATTCTAAAACGGTTAGCTGATGCAGTTGGAGAAAAGCTTGCAGCATTAGCATCATTCAATGCAATTAGAGATGAAATTGAAATACAACTCTCATCATTGCAATCAATGCCAATATTAATTTCTGATGAAATTACTCTATCTGAACTTGAGCATCAATTGTGTGATATAAATGTAAGTTTGTTATTTTATTTATATTTATTTTGCCTTTAAATATTTCTTTCTTTTTTCATAAATGAATTGCTTTATTAGTATTGATCACTTATAGTAAAGTATTATTATTATTTATTTAGGATAAATTTATTAGTTTGGAAAGGTTTAAAAATAAAATCGATGATATTGATGAAAGAAATCTTGATGTGGACAAAATTACCGAAAAGCAGAATCTTCTTCATACAATCGAAAAAGCTTTGGATCATCTAAAGGTAAAAATTTAATGATATTCATGTTGAATTGTGTTGATATGAATAAAATTATATTTATTTTATTGAAATTTCATTTATTTTTATTCAATTACAGGATGGTCAACAAATGGTAGAGAAACGAATCAGTGATTTGCGTATCGCAGAAAAAATGCATGAAGATGGCAATCATTTGTATGATGAATTGAACGTTTTAATTAAAGAAGGTGAAGAAGTGCTAAATGATGCTGAAGCAATTCCAACTATATATACTACTACAATGGATGCATTTGTGAGCCCTCTTGAAATGGCAACAAAATTGCTTCAAACAATGCTGGAAAATGACGAAATGGCTATACGTTTAAAGGCAACTGTTAAGGATGCAAAAGTACTTCAAGCCAATTTGTCACATCATGCCAATCTATGGTTACAGTTTGTTGATGAACGAGATAATGCAACAGATCAGCTTGAAATAAAACGAAAGCCACTTGATGAGATTGGAAATAAGCATATTAGATCATGTGAAGAAGTAATTGATGATCTCGATAAACTTAAGGTTTGTATACTCGAAAATTTTCATCTCTTATTTTATTATGAAATTGATTAGTTTTCTTCTTCTCTTGAACTATATAAGCTGATATTTTAGAAAGCAGCTAATGAATTGAATGATTTACGTAGTGTGATGTCAAAATTGCAAAGCCTTTCCGAACAGTTACATCCACTGGAAACTGCATATGCAGATGTTCGCTTTTATGATGTAGATGTTGAGCAAACACAACAGCAATATGAAAATCTCATATCTTTGATAAATAGCGAATTACACGATGAAAATATTCTGAATGAATCTGCTCAACAATTGGCTCAAGAATTAGAATATCTTAATGGCAAATTTTCAATGGAATCGATTAATCGTGAACAATTTGAGGAGGTTATTTTGATCAAAAAATTTTCTATTTTTAATTTTATTATTTTAAATTTGATAATATTTTTAATTTAAAAAAAAAAAAAAAAAGAATTATTTTCATTTTTTATTTCAGATGCTAAATCATCAATTACCTTCATTACAAGCTAAGCTGCAATTTTTACAAGCAAAAGATGATGAAGCAAAACGAATTCGTATTCATGTTGCTCGTATATCTCAACCATCAATTGAAACATTAGCCGAACAACTGAATCATATTTACGTGCTTGTAAAAGAACGATTGGATAATCTGTCAAAAATAGAAAAACAAGAAAAAGAAATGATTATCAAGATGGAATTAGAAAAGCTGCGTACCGAACCATATGATGAAGAGAAATTGATAAAAGTTGAAGAACAATTACAGCAGCTTCCTGTAGAAGATGAAAATACGCAAATATTAGCTATAGAGGTACAAAAATTACGAGCAGATAAAGTTGAGCGTGATGCAGTTAAAAAAGAAATCGAAATGAAACTAGCCGAATTACTCAATCGTATGAATGTGATACGGACAAACTTGAGTGCAATAATGGAAGAGAAAGAATCGGAAAAAGGAAGAACAAAAAAGAATAAAAAAGCATTAACCGATATTGATGAACAAATTAATGCATTTGAATCAGCGTTAAATGAAACATTTGGTGAAATTTTACCACCAATGAATGAGCTTATTTCTCGATCGCATCAAGAGAGCATCAATCTTCCATCACTTCAATCTGAACTTGAAAATACACAAAATTTCGCTGAAAAATGCAAGGTAAATTTGCTTCCTTAAATTAAAATATGAACGTTTTTTCTTACATTTTATAATATCATCATCATTTTCAACATTCTTGAATCATTAATATATTATATTTTTGCAGAGAAAATTGGATGAGAAGCTAGCAGAAAAAGAGGAAATGAAAATGGTACAATCTGAGCTTGCAGAATTAGAAGAAAAAATATGTTTAGCTAATCAATTGCTAACATATGATGTAAAAAATGCTGATAATCTAGAAGATATTGAAGAAAAAGCGAAAAATATTGAAAATTTGGAGCAATTCATGATTTCAACATTGGATAAGTTAAAAGATTATGATGGCAATATGATGTTGAATGAAGCAATGTCTCTTATTGATAAGCTACGTATTTTACGGGAATCTATTGCAAATCATCAGAAATCATTCGCTGATTGGAAAATTGCTTACGATAAATTAGAAGATGAAATACGAGAAATTAATGATAATATGGAAAGATTATTTATTAATTATACAGAACCACAATCGTATACAACAGCAACAAACGATATAAATATATTAGAAGGATTACAGAAACAGATCATGGAATTATTAAAGAAAACGATCAATATTGAAGAGAATGTAGTGCAAAATTTACCAAACTATCATTCTGCAATCAATATAATGAAGCAAAGAATTGAAAAAACTGCCAAAGATATTGAGGTATTTAATTATATATAATTTTTTTTTTTCTCTTTCTCTCTCTTTTTCTATTTCAATTTGCGTAATTTAAATTTAATATTATATTTTATGATTATTTATCATTTATTGATCTTGAAAAATTTTTAGTTAGAAAAAAATTATTTCAGAATTTATTATCATCGCTTATTGAAGATGTTTCAACACAAAAGCAACTTGTTGATATGCAAAACGATTTGATCAACCAATTGAGTAAATTAAATGATTGTGCCATAATGGTTCGTAGTGCACCATATGATGAAACACATGCTGCACGATTAGAAGAATTAAAAAATGAACTTGCAAAAGTAAGTGATATATTGGAAGAATTGAAAGAAAAGGAAAGGAAACCAATAAAACTGGTGCAACATTCAAACGATTTAAGAATATCATCTATAGTTGATCAGTATGAAAATGTTAATCATCTTCTGAATGAAACTGAAGAGCAATTGATGAATGAAGCTGCTTATGTAACATTACAATCAACAATTAACAACGAAACGAAAGAGCTACACTATATGGTAGATGAAGCGTATAAAGTTGAAAATGATACTAATGCAACAACAAACGATTTGAAGAAAGCAATTGATGATCTCAAAAATGGTCGATCACATTTGACAGTATTACAAGATGCATATGATAAATTGGAAACAATACCAGATACGGATTCATTACGTGAGAAAGTAATTGATGAAATTTCAACACTAAATGAGCAATATGATAATGTTGAAAGAATTTTAGAAGATCGACTTGATATGCTGAATAAATTTGACGAAATAGCGGATAATGTAAACAAGCAGTTGATGGATCTTGAAAATGATGCACATAAACTGGAAATTCCAAATGCCAGTTGTGAATTATCCGTTGCTGAGAAAAGGCTTAATGATGTTAATAAATTAGAAGAATCATTGAAAGAATTATACGAATTGAAAGAACAATTAACACCATTATTGAAGCCTGTTTTTACAGTTGAAGATTTCGGTAATCGTTTATCAGATGTGAACAAAAATTTCCAACAATGGTACGATGAGCTTGTGAGAAAGAAGCAAGAATTGGAAGCTGAAAATAATCTATCATGTTTAATCAATGATTTCAAGCAAACTCTTATTAATGCCGAAAATGATTTTGAAAAGCTTGAAGGAACGATGAATTCATTGAAGAATTTCAGAGATATAATTTTACCAATGGTAGTTGAAAAATCGGATCGTATCAGAGATCTAATACTACCGGTAAAAACTGAAAATATTAAAGAGCTTTATCATGATGTCGATAAACTAACAGATCGATATAATGATTTATCAACACGTGTGAATGATAAATTGAATCATGCAAAGGAGCAGGAGAATCTATTTGATGATATCCAACGACAGCTTGATGATATGGAACAAAAAGCTGATGATTTTCTCAACAAATATATCACTTCACAAGATTTATCAATTGCTATGGAAGATATCGATCAATTGCATTCACTTCTGAATCAGATTCCAACATCAGCAATGGAAAATATCATTGAACGTGGGCTCAGAGAGAATTTATTAAAGAAAGCAGATATTATAAAGAATAAGATTAAAAATTTACTTCTTCCACTGGAAAAAGATATGAAAAAGGAGCAAGAATTGATGCAAAATGTTCATGAAATACTATCGACAATAACTTCAATTGGTGATGATGTTATTGGAGTTGATAGCATAAATGAGCCATCACAACAATTGATGAGCATTGGTGAATTAACTGAAAATTTGCGAAAATTGAAAGGAAAAGTTGAAAAACTAGAAGGAAAATTACATAATTCGGAAGGTATGGTAAAACGTGCATTAATAAGTGATGATCTTTATGATCGTGTTGTACAATTACAAAATGCACTTGATGATAAGAAAGAGAAATTAACCGATCGTGCCAAATTATATTCCACAACTGCGGAGATAAATTTGATCAACGAAAATGTGCAACATTATATAAATGAAATGGAACAAATACCATTGCAAACAGTTGAAGAACAAAATAATGCATTAAGTGAGCTTGAAGGAAAGAAACATCAACTTGAAATTTTGCTAGAAAATATTCCGATGAATGATGAAGGTAATAAGTTACGTGAGGATGGTAATAGATTACTGGCACAACTGAATGATATTCTAAAACGGTTAGCTGATGCAGTTGGAGAAAAGCTTGCAGCATTAGCATCATTCAATGCAATTAGAGATGAAATTGAAATACAACTCTCATCATTGCAATCAATGCCAATATTTATTTCTGATGAAATTACTCTATCTGAACTTGATCATCAACTATGTGATATAAATGTAAGTTCGTTATTTATAATATACATCACTTGGATTTTAGTATAAATTCGACTTTAGTATTCTCATGGTAACGAAGAAAAATTATGTCTTTTCTTGAGATCGACGACCTGACTGATTGTGGAGAATGAATATCAGCAAATTATTTTAATTGTTTTCTGCGTGCGCTTTCGTTGAACTGATCCGATTTTTTTATAGTCCGGTGTGCAGAAGCTTCTAAAATTGAAGGAAAAAATTTCACATGTTGGAGTCTCTGAATGTGATAGGGAACAGTGCGACGAGAAGAAAGACCTTTTGTCGAGAATTGATGAGGTTTTGGAGCATGCAGAGGTTTTTTTTTTTCTGATTGAATAGTGAAGTTTTTATAGATGAGTAAGGTTTTTAACTAAGTTGGATGTCGTATTAAATGCAATTTTTAAGTGATATGTTTCAGAAAGATCATGAATATTTCGACAAAAAGCGTGCCCAGTTGTTTGCGCATGAAAGGATATCTGTCGATTGTAAGACATTACACAGTGAGTTGGTAGAATGGATAAAGAATGGTCAGGAATTGTTGGACGATTCAGAATCTCTTCCAGAATCTTACGATTCTGTCTCAAAGAAATTTGACACTCTTAGTGAAAAGATATTCGATTTACGCAAGGAACCAAATATCGAACAGTCACTGGTTTTTGTTCAGCTATGTGAACTAATTGACAAAGGCAAAGATCTGCAACTAGAATTGTCTAAACGTGCTCTTATGTGGGAAAATTTTGTAAAAGAACGTGATTCAGCAGTAGAAGAACTGAACGATATACGCAGGCAAATATGTGAAATTGAAGGACGAGGAGTGAGAAGATTTGATAAAATGCTTGATGATTTGGAAGCTTTAAAGGTTTTTTTTTTTTTTTTTTCATATGACTGATTTAAGTTAATTATTATTATGAGGGTGGTGTACCTCTTAGGATTGCTGTAACATGCAAAAAATTTCTCAAGGCTTTCGTTAGTGTACTCCTTATCTTGTCTTTTGGTTTTAAACAAGTTTCAGAAATTTTCTTAAACTACCGAATATCTGATTTGTTTCAGGCCCTCTACCTGAGGTGGTCGTTTCTCGCGGATTTACCATCACGACTATTGTCTTTGTGTTCACAACTTCATCCGCTAGCCTGCGCCCGACGAGAGGGAGAAGCATTTGTCGAGGAAGCAAGTGAACTTGAGAAAAAGATCGAGGTTTTTCTTCTTATTCTTTTTGATAATTTGATCTGTTGAGCTTAATGTAAAGTGATGACAACTAAATTAAGCTTTCCTGATAAAATTCCATAATCAGAAATCCGAATTGATTCTTGAATGAATGCTAACTTATAGGAAACCTTTAATTTATCGGTTACTATCTTCCAGTTGTCTTCGGAAATGCTTTTTTTAATAATTTGAAAATATCCTGGATTTTAGAATTTGTTGGATTCTATGTCCGCCGAATTCCGAGTAAGAGAGGAAATTATGCATTCATTACTCGTAATATCAGACGAACTTGGCGTTATTAGAAATGCATTCGATAATCAGAACATATCAGCTTGTCTACAAAAGGTCTTTTGTTGTGAAAAAATATTGTACCTAAAAGCTTTTTAAATAATACGGCCTTTCTGACTAAATGCTAAGAGTAGAACTGAGTGAATTTCATTTAAAAAAAGACAACTCTTCTAGGTTTCGTTTTATGTTTCTATAGTACTTGACATTATCAACCATATAAAGAATATTTTGTAACATATACCAAAGAAAGTTGTGCTCATTTCAGAAACTGGAGCAAAAGTTGGAAGGTATTCGAGCGCATTTGAAAACACTAGATGAAGATATCACTAAGTACAATGCTAATAGAATCTTTCTGAATGAAGAAGAGGATATTACAACTAAACGTAATTTCGAACAGTTAGAAGAAATTGAAGAAAGACTAAAACGACTACAACTTACGGATACTGAAGAATATGATATTGATGCGGCAGCAGAAGTACTGGCAGCAATATATCCTAATGATTATCCACGAGATGTACTGCGTGAACAGGGCATTCCATTTGATGATGATTTATATGACCTTAGCCCCAGTTCTGCCACTAGCGACGATGATGATGTGAGCAAATTTGAAACACCTGATGATGAAGTGTGTTTTATGATTTAATAGAATTTCCCTCTGGTTTGCTTAACTTATATGAGATTTAGCTTCGCTTATATCTGTAAGTAAAGGACGGCAATGGACTTAATCACTAATGTAGTTCAGCAGTTAGAATTATGATTATGTCTGAGGGTTTAGGATTAAGGATTAAGTTTTAAGAGCTCATTTATGATGGGAATGTAAGATACTATTTTCGAAAAAAGTGATTTAATGAAAAAGATCTAGGTTTGATTCATATATCCGGTTTTTTTTTTCATTTTCATGTAAAACATAGAGCAGAAGCTATTAAAATGTGCCTTCGTCATATTTTATTTTTAACTGATATTAGCAATATCAAAAATAGTGATAAAGACGAGAAAAAGCCAGAAGGTTCATTGTATTAGTTGCAGGTGATGCTAGAAGAAAGCGATGTAGAAAATGCCGTTGAGGTCTCTGCATCATCTGATGTTGTTGCACTTTCACCAATACCAGATGATCCAAGCCCAGGACGTGTACATTACGTACGACAACGTTCTCGTTGGAGACGTATACTTCGTACTGCATTGCCTCTTCAGGTTTATTTTTCATATCTGTGAAGCATAAATCTTTCTGAATGGCGTAACTTATTTTTCAATTTTCAAGATAATTCAGAAATAATGCAATCAATAGTTGTTCATTTTTTTTTTTTTTTTTTGTAGTGGAATCTTAAATGAACAGTATCATACTATTTTTTTGCAGGCTATGCTTGTATTACTTCTTGGTGCAGCATGTCTTGTACCACACTGTGATGATGAAAGTTGTTGCCAGTTGCTCAATAATTTCGCACGAAGTTTTGATCCATCCTTAGAATTCGTCAATGGACCGCCACCTTTTTAACGCATTCATATTGATTACAACAGGCTCATTCACTGTTATCGCAAATATTCTGTTAAAAAATAGAAACTGAATGTTTTACTTCTGTTTTTCTTTTTTTTTTTTTGTTATTGATTGATACATTTGAAAAGAAAAAATCCATGTAATTTATTTGTTTTTATTTTTTCACATTGTGCTTCCTATCTTGTTTAAAAGTAATTACGGAACAAATTAATTATGCTTCAATTTTTAAAATAAAATGTTAATCGTTGAATATCGATTATTTCAAGATAAACCCATGTCATATATATATATATGCATACTGAATGGTTACAGCATAATGAAGTATGGCAAACCTAGACTCTTGAGAACATCCTGTGCCAGTAATACCTTATTTTTATGCATTCCCTCTATTTGCCCAATGACTTCCCAACTTGATTTATGTTCAGGGATTGGCAAAATTTCTGAAATGTTTACGGAACTTTATTGATAACACACAACAAAAGTAATGGTGATTTCCTTGTAAGCAATACAGTAGCACCAAAAAGTAAAGAATAAAACATATGTTTGAAGACAAATTCAAACAGCTAATTTCCTAAAAAATTTTTGGGAACAAAATGAAATAATTTCTTGATGAGAAAAAAATACGTTGATTAGAAATTATGATACAGTGATAACGTAGTACAATAATAATATTCTTACCACTGTTAAGTTTGATAAGGCATATGTAGTACCATAAACTGTAAGAGTGTAATCTAAGAAAATAGGACTTGGGAACATAAAAAAACAATTGGCGAAAGTGGAAAACAAACAACAAATATGTTAAGGGTAGTAGTTTTCTTTTCTTAATATAATTATAAAGCAGAGTAATTTGAATTTCTTCAAATAAACTTTACAAAAAAAAAAAAAATTTCAGCCAGGATGCGCAAGGATAACTGATCTTGAATAGAAATAGTAGCTTCTCAATAGTAGAAAGAATAATACCTAAAATCAGATCTCCAAAATGCAAGTGATTAATTTTAACCAATAATTTTCTTCAAAAACTTCCTCAAAAGCATAAAAAAAAAATGATCGATTTCCGAATATTCTTATCGATTACTTTTTAATGAAACCTCATCAAGTCATATTTCAATCTGCTATGATGCACATATTCCAGTTCAATATGTAGATAATTTTGAAAATAAGTGAAAACTAGAAAAATCAAATAAATAAATATCTGTAATACCAAACAAAACTATTTCAGAAAATACCATTTCAGTCGAAAGTAAAGTAAGAAAAATCATATAATTTTGGAAATTTGTGAACTCATATAAATACAATGTGAAGTGAAAAAATGAGAAAGCAACATACAATTTGATTATTTTTTTTTTTTTTTTCAGTCATCAACATTTCTCTATTTTTCTTCTTTTTTTTGAATGAAATTTCTTACAAATTGTGTAAATTATAAATATTTAAAGTACATTAGTACGCTGGGTACGTCCAATTTCGAGTTCGTATATGGTTGCAGTCGTTTTCGAATCCAAATATCCGGCAGCTGAACGTAATTTCAATAATTGCATTCGATCGTAACGCTGCTTGCTTAATTTTATTTCTGTCACATCGCCATTACCAGCTGTGGCATTATTTAATTGAGTCAAATTTGGTGTACTACCTGTTTTACCAGAAGAACGCCATTGCACATTGCTACTAGTACTTACCGGTGAGTTGTCACAGCTAAAATTAAACATAATAGCTAGAAATGTATAACAACTAATGATAAGAAATAATTAGAAAAAAATATTTTAGCATCATGCTAAAATAATTTAACAAATTAAATCATCTCTACAGAATTATTCACAATTTAGGAAATATTTTATAAAAAATGCATGTGAAAGAGTAGAAAGATTAACTCATTCATCTCAAAAATAACCTCCTCCTCATTTCTGATAAATGTAAAATTTCAGCAATCTTCTGTTATTCACCTACTATTAAATCAAAAAAAAAAAAAATTCCTGTCAATAACAAACTTAGCAATTTGGCGATTTGATGAGGACTGCAGTGGCATTGATTTTCTCCTTTCTTTGCGCTGTTCACGTTCTTCAGCTGATATTCGCGAATGGTTTCGGCCAACTCTTGTTAAATATTCACTCAGAGCTGCTTGCGCTGCCTGTAGTATTAGAACTAGAAAATAAAGTGAAAATTCGGATTAATTCTCAGATATTGTAAATTTGAAATTTGCAAAGACAAAGAAAAATTCATTTAGTAAGTGAAACAAAAAACAGAAACACTGATATTAATACGGAATTAGTCTAGCTTTATAGTATGTTTATTAAAAATTTAATAAAAAAAAAAATAACCTGAAGCACTTGTGGATCAGCACACGACAATTTCAAAGTGCCATCTTGTGTCGTTTCGATTGATATCCCAACATCATCATCATCATCATCATCATCATCATTGTCATCAACTTCTGCATCATTTGCTTCAGTCTAGAATAAATTTTTAAGTTTATCAAAAATCCAAAAAAAAAATTCATCACCTACACAAGAAGATGATAATTAAAAGAGTCTCATAAAACATCAGTAAGACATCCAAGATGTTAATAATTAATCAGGAAAATAATAGATAAAACCAAAGTTGCATGTTTTGACCAAAAAAAAATACTTGAGCAAAGCCAAATAGGCAACTATCATTTCTTGAGTTAAATAAAATCAAAAGATGTGCAAAGTTGGCTTGAAAACATAAATGATAGCTATACCGTAGCAAAGAAAAATAACTTTCATTAGAAATACATCCAAAAATTCTACAGACAATATTTGTAACTATAAAATGAAACGTGAAAAAAAATAAACGGTTACTCGATTAGGTGAAATATTTCGACGAATTGTTTGCTCGATGAGACGTTTCGCATAATCAATCGATTCTTGATTACTACCAGTTATTGTCAATGTACGATCCTTACATTTGGAATCAACTTTTTGAAATGATATTACTGTTTTGCTTAATTCTTCCACTACTGCTACACGTCGACCTTTAACACCCATAACTGCAAAGTTACATTTCAATTCAAACATTCTAGCTTGAGCTCCATTTTTTTTTTTTTTTTTTTACTATTAGCTACTCTATTAAGTATCCTAAAGATAAAAGAAAAAAAAAAAAAAAGAAAAACTAATTAGATTAGACCATATCCCATACAATATTGACATATAATTTATGTAATTTTAAATTATTCCAACCACTATTATACAATGACCTGAATTTTCTGTAATAATTAGTTCGATGACATTTTCAGCATATGAATGACAAAAATTTGGAAATATGATGCACAGAAAAAAACAAAAATTTTGAATTACAATAAATTGGTTCAATTAAAATCAAACTTTTTGACAAGATTGACTTGACTTACTTTTGCCAGAATCACTATTACGTATCACCATTTCCTCGCGTAACTGTGGAACACGATTTTGTGGTGTTTTTGCTTTCAATTTTGTCTGTTGCAGTTGTTTGTTAGCTTTCGCCCAAGCTTCTACATCAATTGGTGTTAATTGAGGCAAAATATTACCAGATGGTACAACACCGGGAGCTATTATTGGTCGAGCCCATCCACCTAAACAGATAATGAATTTAAATTACATCTTAAATTGTTAATAATTATATCTTATTAATAACATCTTGATATTTGAAGTGAAACTTTTTCTTTTCTTCATTTCTTTATTTGTTTTATGTTAGCATTCTTATTATTTACTGCTTTGGTAACAGTTTAAAGATAAACAAATAAATAAAATTAAACTACAATTTAAACTGTTATTAATCATATAGTTAACTTGATAATTTTTCTCAACTTATCACTCACTACTCTATTATCAGTGCATGAATATGAATTAACTTCTATTAAAAAAATTCAAATAAATAAAAGTCATGCTAAATTTTCATGGAAATAAAAAAAAAAAAGAAAAAAGAAACAAACTAGCAGCAGCTGCTGGTATCAGATAGAAACTTGCTGGTGTGGGTTGTGGAGTGATTACTGCATTGTTTACATCATTTCCAACATAAAGTGGTGGTGAAGGACCGCCAAAATTACCAAACGGATTTACCGGGATTGTACCGAATGGTGGAGCACTTATTGGTGCAGGATCTGTAAATAATTAATGAGAATTTCAAGCATGTAAACAACAGAAATAAATGAAAGGACAAGAATTCACTCAAATCAATTTACTGATATCGATATCAGTAAATGATAAGTCATTTATAGTATTTATATCAATTTTTTTTTTTTTTTTTTGTTATCATCATATTAAGACTGTTGTTAAAGTAATTATCGTAAGTCATCTAATCACTTCTTAACTAATCTTAATTATCAACTTTTCACTTACCAAATATTTTCCGAAGCATTATTAATTCATATGCAAATTAATTAATATAAATTAAAAGATACCAATTTGTTGCTGTTGTTGTTCAGGACGATTAAGATAATATTGTGTATGTGCTAGGCTTGGTCTCCAACCCATTGCTCGTAATTCCACCAATTCCATCATTTTGAGTCGACACGGCGTCCCAAGTTGACCATTATCACGACAACAAGCTTGTCGCAAAGATACGAAAACTCGATTCAGTTCATCTATAGAAGTTACATTTAATGTCACCTGTCATTTTATATTTACTTTTCAAATTTAGAAACAATGAATGTGCGTCATAAAGTCGATACGATAATAGATTTAGTAATATTTACCAATGTCAATTGCATTATACTGTCATCAAATTTCTTCCATATAGCTACTTCTACTATTCTTCATATATTATTTGTGTACCAAATAATAAAATTTAAAAAAAAAAAAAAAAAAAAAAAAAAAAAAAAAGAAACGCTAAAGTTTTGAAAAATGAATTATAAGAGAAAAACAAACTTTTATGAGATTGCTCGAGAAGTTGTCCAGAAAATTTGAGTTGCTGACAAAGAACAAAAATCTGATTAGCAAGTTGAGCGTTAAATAGTCCACCTTTTACTGATGCATTTATTTGATTCATCAAACTGAGCAATTGCTCTAAAA